GACAACGTCCCACAAAGCAGATATGTAGCACAACCTACATACCTCAGTGAAAATAGTGAATTTTTTATGAAATAATAAATAGGCTATGTAGGTATGTGCCGCGCCAAAGGTTATGTTTTTTTGGCAGTTTTGGTTTGAAATAGGGTATCAATTTCGACCATTTTGGTCTGAAATAGGGTATGGTTTGTGTACTCTAGTCTTGAATTGGGTCTGTTTTTGAGAAGAATTTGCTGCCACTTCATCATTTGGCGATAGGACCATTTCCCTTTTGACCGTGTACGTACCGTAACAGCTTGTCACGCGCTCCTGTCACGCGCCGGGCTACAGGTCTTCAGGTCTTAAATAGGGTATCAAATTTTTGATCAGGTCTGAAATAGGGTAGGGAAAATCACAGATTTTGGTCTGAAATAGGGTAAGGGTTTCAGGAAGCGTGCCGCACATCCCCTCCCAATTTTTCTGGAAGAATCCCCCGGAATTTTTGGTCGTACATCTAGGACACAAAAGGCAGGTCATTGTGCCAGGCGTTCCTTGCGGAGACCGTGGAAACAAGGACTAAGAATCATTGTGTGATCGAAGCCACGCATGTTTTGCGAAGAAAGCTTACGAAAGATTAAATTTAGAGCTTTTCCGAAACGTGTCGTCCCACGAACTCTATCGCTTGAAAGCGTTGATCACTTTGGAGCAAGTGAACACTACAGAGTGCTCGGAAAAAATAAGAATCTGAATTAGCAAAATTGCGATGGTCGGGTGTTGTAAACTTTCACTGTATGCAAATGAGTCTTGTGATGAGCATGCGATTGATTTTCGGCGATGACTGAAATGACGTGCCATGTAAATCACTTTTTCGATACTGGCAATGATGTAATTTCTCTGGAATCGAGGCCCTTGAATTTTCGTGCATTTATACACGCGTATAGCCTACGAACAGCAGACGTATTTCCACTAGTCGCCTCTCTCCTCTCCTATTTTCAGAGGGAGAAAAGCGACTACAGGAAATGCGTCTACTGTTCGCAGGCTAACACGCGTAAAGCCTGCTATAGTCTTTTCATAGTCCCCTATTTTTTCGTGAGATCGTCGAGATATAGCGCGTCTTATGTACCGAGGGGACAGTAGTTTTGACATTCTTGCAAGATGGCAGCCCGTAACGGAAAGCGCTCGATCTCGACGATCTTACGGAAAAATAGAAGACTGTGAACAGTCTAAGCTTGCTATCGCAGAGGTAATTTTGCTTGTCGCTAGCACGCGTACTAAATCAATTCAGAAACAAATAAAAAGTATCGACGTCGATAAAGTAGGAAGTAAAAAACCTTTAGCGAGTAAATCATGTTTCCTGTAGAATTAATCGCCTCCTCATTTCTCGATCTAATCTCCAAGCAGGCGAGACGTGCATGCCGCTGTAAGCGCGTTCTTGTTACAGATAACCAGGACGAATTATGGTACCCGCTCACAACCAAAAAAACACCTTGCATCAGATCACCCTTCCAGAATTGTAAAATAAAAATATCTCATTATACGCTTCACTCAAGGTTTTCGTTAATCAATTACAACTCTGATTGGGATACTTAAGCCACACTTCTTTTGGCGCAGTTTATAAGTAATTAATATGATTAATGATTTATATGAATTTCGCCTGATGTGAATTTGAATCCAATGGTATTTTTTTTCGTTCTAGTTCGTATCTTATCAACGCAATGTTTTTTAACTGGCAGGCAACTTCTTTTATGGTGTGTCGCCCTTGGTAAGCTATTTTACCAGTTTTCAGCCGTCAAGATGTTGCACGCACCGTCCGGTCATCATTCAGTTATAGGACGTCCCAGCTCAGAAGGGCTGTCGTTTGACGAATATGTTGTGTATAGAGGGAAACAGGTATGTCTTGCTTTTTAGTCAAGAGCTGTGTTTTCTTTTCTCGTTGCACTTGTGGCTGTCGTTTAAGAGAATGCTAGGAGCGTCGTGGTTTGCAATCGTCCTGGCTGAGATAAGAACTAGATGGATTTTAAGAGAAAAGGCGGACTGCAAGCGGCTACAATCGATTGTATTGGGTGCGACTTTGGGATACATTTTTGGGCCAGATTGACAAAAGCTAAATTTGCATGCAACAGAATCTTCATACCGTCCAACCTCTGCACCATGAGGCTCGCTAATTTGTGGACGTATCAAAGTCGTCTTTCGTGAGAAATTCGTAGTTTCCTTTATTTTTGAGGTTTTCAGTGTTGTCCGCGGGGAACAGGCGCCCCATTGACATAAAGAAGCTTAAGCACAGACATTTTGAGCGACACACGTCAACCGGAAGTGAGATCTATTCCCTCTTAATATACCTTGACGCTGCCAAATTTGTATGTGTTCACTCTTACAGAGACGATCTGCCTTAAAATTTGGGCAAAACCGCTGTCCAAGGGTGCAAAAAAAGGCACCTCGGTTGACGTGCGTCGTCCAGAAACGTGTTCGCTTAAGCTTGTTGATATGAGCTATTGAGAAAAATGCAAATACAGGATTTGGTTATAATAATTTGATGCAAGTGTTTTTTTTTAATCGATGTGCCATTTGCTTAATTATCTGACACACTACCTACTTGTTTCCTTTGTTGTTGTTTACAGGCGTATCCAGAATACCTTATCACGTACAAGATTGTTAAACCCTCCAACGCTAAGGCATCTCCATAAATTCCTTGTACATCACTATCAACTAAGAATGTGAATGGCTGAGATTGCTATGAATATCTACATAGCCGCATAAGCGTCACAACCCCGTTTAAAGAAATGTATGACCCCTACTAAAGGGGTTAACAGCTACTTGGAGCAACCAGAAACGTGATGAGAGAGAAGGGACAAGATAGGATGCACAAATTCGAAGAAAACCTGTTCCCAAAAAACTAACTATTAAGTTTACAACGAGTCTGAGATTCAACTATGACGGGCCCCAGTTGTTCAAAAGCTGGATAGCGCTATCCACCGGATAAATCACTATCCAGTGGATAAATATTAGAGAAACCAATTGCACTATTCAGTGGATAGAGATTTATCCGGTGAATAACGTTAACCACCTCTTGAACAACCTGGACCTGGCTTATATACTTCAGAGCTGATTATGGATTTTAAAGAAAAACACGAAATATGATGGCAACAAATTAATCATGAACATTGTATTTGTATATTACCGCAGAACAATTTTATGTCATCTTGTAATTTAATTTTGTACGTAGTAATCATGCAGTTAATGCAAAACAAAAAAGGTTATGTCCTGACAAAGGAGAAGTTTTTACCCCCAATGGAAAGCTTTTTCGCAGGCTATTTACATACCGAGTATAGAACCACAAACTGTACTTTCAGCAGGTTATCCTCCGCGCCAAATGAAAAACCTTTTAATAATTGGTAAAGCCCAGCGAAAGGGAATTTAGACTAAAATATTATCTAAAGCCTTACTTGACATTACTTTGAAAAATAAGTTTACATTGTGGTCAAAGTGTCTAAATTGGAAGTTGATTTTCTTTCTGTGTTTTTTTTTAATAGTTTGGTCTTGACTGTTGAGGATTTCTTGCAACAGTGACACCTGTCAGTCACCTCTTATTAAGACAATCTATTTTTCCAAAGTTAACGCTGTTCCTTTACCGTAGTTTGTTTATCACCTGTCTGTGCTTTTGCTTTAACTGTACATGTAGGTCTGTAAATATATCAACTATTTCATTTAACTCCATGTTATGAACGACCCTTTTTTTCAATACCAATATCAAAGTGCTAAAGCAATGTTTGTCCGTGTGGTTGTTTGTTTGAAAGTAGATTTAAATCACGTATTGATAATATGAAGGACGTTCAACTCCGTCAACTTTTTGCATGCGACCTACATCGTGAAAGGTATCGCTGAAATCAAACCTTCGACGCAAGTAAGCGAGAGCACGTTTCGTGTCTAGCTGCTTGTTATAAGCTCACGACACCAGCGACCTCACGAACGAACTCGCGGGTACCGCTGGTAACATGCCGCAGGCATTGCAACATCCTTACCAGCGTTGGACGACTACTTTGCGGTCCCATGGTTGCAAGCTTATAGCGTGCAACAAAATTGTCGGCTCCAAGAAAACGTATACTGCAAAAAGCGGACAATTGCCTCAAGCTTGGACAGTTGCTTATTTCTTATTGCCTTGTTTTATCTTTTCTTCAACTAGTCAATCAATGCTCTTTTTAAAACAAACAATGCGGCGCTTATTACTATTAATGTCGCTATTCCGCTTAAGATACGCATGAAAAGGTAACGCAACTGAATAGCGCACGCCAAGGCAAGTAAGACGATAACTACAAGATGTTGTAATAAGAAGCGGGGGGGTAGGGCAAGAGTATTGGCAGAGCCCTTCTTATCTCCCCAGCGCCGCACGGGCTGGATCGAACAAGATTAAGGCAAAGGAATAAGATGGCAAGACAAAAGCAATACCAAAAGCTTGGGGAAAGTCGCAACGCAGCCTTAATCGCGCCACGAGGAGTGACACACCAAACTTTATTGATACATAACACAACAAAACTCCTCCAAAGGGAGGGAGGGTGGGTAACAAAATTATTGTAACCGTTTGCTTTTTCTTGCAAGCTAGACGAATAATGACCGGGTGTGAATTAGCCGAACTTTTATAGCCAGTCAGTGTCTCAAATGTCGACCAACAGATACAGTTGTACCATAAACTACCAGGTCTCATCATGATAAAAGTCCAGCCATAGATAGGGTCTTGAGACAGGGACCAATCTGCGCGAAGCTAAGAAAAAGTATGATGACAAACTAACACAAGTTAATAAGGTTCCAGCCATGAACAGCTTTTGTTTGTATCTTAAAATCAGCGTGCTCCATTAACTGCATTTACTATTCAGAAAATGTCTTAGTAAATTTTTCGACTTTTCTGTCCGACGCTCATGTCAATTTTCTCATTCGCCAAAAAACACGATTCTACGTATTCTCTCTCTCTCTCTTACTGTTCAAAAAAAGGTCCATTTCCCTATCCAATCAATTAAATGAACATTTCCCTCCTAGTATAGTCCACTTTTCAAGGTATTTTTTGGCGGAGAAAAACAGTATTAACAAATTGATTATCCTACGGTGGTCCACAAGTGCAACGGCAAAACAAAATAAATTTACAGCAAAATGAAACGTTACGGTAAAATATAATTCGCTCACGGCATGTATATGTGCCTATGTTCAGTTCAAGTTTTAAAGCCCAGCCACAAAACTGGATTAATCAAGAGTGTTAACAAAAATCAACACTAAATCAATACCTGAGAAACAGTATTTTTAAGATCCCTGTTCAGATGGTGTTAAATATGCACACAGCGCTTACTAGTTGAAAACATAAATACAGTGTTTGTTGTAATCTGTAACAAACAAATGTCCAGTATTAGACACGGCACAACCAATAAGATAGCTATTATGGTCAAAAAAAGTCCCAGCTACCTTAGCGACATATTTTCCGTCAAGTGTGAACAGTTGCAGTCTACGGTTATTCCTATCACAAACAATCAAACGGTTAAACTTGTCAATAGCGATACCAATGGGACACCATAACTGCCCGTCACCAGATCCCTCGCTGCCAATGTCATATAGATACTCCACTGCGTTGTTAAATACCATGACACGGTTAGCAATTGGATAAGAGACAAAAAATTTGTCTTGCTGATAAACAACACACCATGGCTCCGCATCACAACCAGGAGCCCTGAACGACTGAAGAAGGTTTTTCCCATCAGGACTGAGAACTTTGATTGTTTTGTCATCATAGTCACATGTGATTATGCGACCATCACTCACAACAGATATGTACCATGGTATCTTCCAATGTTCGTCGCTGATGTATCGAATGAATTGACCACCCTCAGTATACAAGTACAAGGTGAATTTATCTTCGCCACTCTCGACAGTGCTAAGGAAGTCACCAGACTCGGTGAAAGCCACCGAACACGTTTTAGCTTCCAGCACAATCTCTCTCAGGAAATTTCCATCAAAGCCAAACATCTGCACTCTCTTATTGTTTACATCAGCAATAGCAAGCGTCCTGCTTTTATCATTCACAGCAATACCCAAAGGTTGGTCAAACTGTCCTTGCTCTTTTCCTTCTGATCCAAATTGAAACGCAAATTGATACTGATGCGGAATCACCTGCACAACCCAGGGACTACTAGTCAGCGGCTGTCCATTAACTTGGATCTCTACTCTATGTTGTCCAACACACTGTGGTGTGTATGTTACTGTGTACTTGCCGTCTTTGGTGTCTTTTATCTCTGTTTCCAGTTGATCATCTGCTGGAGTTAAAATGTTGACTTTTACTTGATCATCTTCATGATAACACTGCTTTCCATCTGAATCTCTAGTTACAATGATGAAATTTGCCACCGTTTTTTCTCTTACAAGTTCTTGATTGTCCACTTCCGCTAAAGACAGCAAAGGATCTGTATTACTAACCACAATTCGATCAAAACCCGGATTCAGATGATTTTCTACCATGTAATTCACGTGTGGTGGTTTATAAATGTCAGGTTTTGTTACATTCAAAAGTTCTTCACAGCGTCCAACAATGATCTGATTTGTTTGAAGAATCTCGGCGCTGACGTTTCTTTCTAGTGCGCTTTCACCTCGCTCAATGCAGCTTTGCAGTTGAGTCAAAACCAACTCACAGTTTTCTAGTTGTGTCGCGTGATGTTTCTGTTGCGCTTCATAAATTTCAGCAAATTTGGCTTTCATGACCCTCTCATGTTCCCGTAATTCACGGATACGTTCCTCCACGGCATCTGTCATCTTCTTTTCCGCTGACAAAATTTCAATTTTGGTTTTGTCCATTAGCTCGGTTTGTTTCCTTATTTCGTTCTCGTAAATTACAGTTTCCGCTTTCACTTTCTCTAAAGCGTCCTTCATTTGTATCTTCTGTACTTGTGCGGCTTTCTGAGTGTCTGTCATGGTGTGTCGATTATGGCTTACTATACAGCACTTCTGGCAAACAAGAACTTTGCATTCTTCGCAATAAAATTCCAGCGGTTGATTTTCGTGATATTGCTGTGAACACATGGCAGGTCTGTGGATCAACTCTTGAACATCTTTCACATTTAATTTCTCTATCATAACATTGCGATGACCTCTTGTGATCTTCAGGCGCTGGTGAGCTTCAAAACAAGAAGTACAGAGGAATATTTGGCAGACAAAACAGTAAGAGAAAGCGGGATTGTTCTCATCACAACTGCTGCATTTCTGGGTCTGTGTGCCGCCATCTTTTATAGCGAGAACATCCACCAATCGGTTGAGATGATAAGACGCAGGCAAATTCTTGAACGAGTCGGCTTCGGGGATTTGAAAAGATGTCTGACAAACCGGACATTTGATTGTCGCTTGTAGCTGTCTTCTTGCAAAATTTGCGTGTTTGTCAAGACATTCGAGGCAGAATGAGTGAATACATGGCAAAGTCTTGGGATTATTGACTGTCTCCAAACACAGTGGGCATTCAGCCTCCTTCTTAAGAACTGCAAAGAGCTGTTGAACATCCATAGTATAAAGGTGGGGAAGTTAAATGATGGCATATGGGTGATATCACGTGATTTGGGTGCAGCGTGACCAATTAGAAAACAAAAACAAAATTCACTGAGTTTTGCGAAATAAGAAATATGCAAAGAAGAGGATACAAAGGTACAAACACTCTACTTTTTGAGGCCCAAATTCCATGTCAAAGGATTTCAGCAAGTGAGGGAACTGACTATCTTTAGTGGGGATGTTCTTGAACATGTAGATTGTGCCATTCATAACTGTTCGATTTCATTTGTAATTTAGAGAAGCATAGTGTTGTTGATGTTGATAGTGATGACAATGATGATGGGAACGATGATGTTGTAAATGCTGCCGATGACGATGATGATCTTGGAAATGAAGATTATACTGAGAGTTTTGGTGACAATGATGAAGTTTAGAACATGCTTTCACAAAGATAATTGCAATGTGTTTTTAGGCATTAAATTTGAACAGTTTAATACATTCATCAGCAAATTTTAAACTGGTGACACGTTTTTCAATTTGTGTATGCTGTTTGAGCCATCAAGCACTTTAAAACATTCCAATGTTAACTTGTTTCCACAGGAACACTAATTATAAAATACTTTATATGGCTGTTATGTTGGTTTATAGAGCTCTATTTCAGTCCATTCATTAGTCTTGATTTCCGTGGCTACTGCTAAACACAGAAATATAGGCAATTTTCCAGTTGAAGAAAAATTGAACTTTTCATTGAAATTTTGTAGTTGCTTTACAATAAAAACACTTGGCTTTTATATTAATCACAAAGTCCTGTAAGGAGTGTATTTATAAAGCAGTGAGCTAGCAAACTTTATTCAAGCATAGAGCAATTAGGGCGGTCTTCTTTTATAAAAAAATCCACAAAATAACGCTTTCCTTTTTTAAAAAGAGGATAAAAAATTAGAACCCTCCGCCCCCCAATTTTGGCAAACCCCCCTTGTTCCTTTCCAAATAATTTGAGATCCCCCAGAAAAACCCTTTGCTGCCCCCCCTCCCCCTCCCCGGCTGCGGTATACATAATGAATGCAGCCTTGTGAATTGAAATGAAGAGGATCAGAAATGGATGAGAGAAGCAACAAAGGGGAAGGGAGTAACAGGGACATGGGGCCCATAAGTTAACGGAGGCCGGGCAGAAAAATCAACTAATGGGTATAGGACGTGTAGTGAGTCGGAATTTAATCACCAATCTAGACAGCACAGGCATCCCAAGCTCATGTTATGAAATGTTTAAACAGTATTAATGGCGAAAAAAAGAGCTTGTGCATCAAATAACACTCCAGTACAAGAAAAGCTTCACCAAGAGTAGCCCTAGCAACCGCCATTTAACTGTAGATGTCTCTAATTGAATTTGGTAGACGCGTGGAGCCAAAGGCTTATTAAAGAGACCTCTATAGAAGTCCATACTCGAAGTAAACCGCTTTCATGCAGTTGTGTCACAGACCAGGATATATTTAGAAATTTTATGGCGCGAAATTAGAATATGGACAACGTCCCACAAAGCAGGTATGTAGTAAAACCTACATACCTCAGTGAAAAAAGTGAATTTTTTGTGAGCTTCAGTTTCCTATTTTTCATTACCTATTCTTCGAATGGGCACATGGACAGAGCGGATCCGGAGATTCCATTCAGTTCCATTTTCGCGAGAAAAAGAAGCACAAAGTTTTGAACGAGAGCAACTCATCACCAAACCACTTTCCCGGGGTTTCTCTCCTTCTCGACCTCTCTCTCTCTCTGTTGCTGCGGCGGGAGGAGAGTAGTAGAAAACGCTGGAAACGAGGATTGCAACGTAACAGAAGGTATTTTAAACTGTTTTACACCCAGTCAGGAGCCTGTCTTACCCAGTGGTTGGTTAAAAAAGGAACGTTAACATTGCAAGTCGACGTTCAATTAACCACCTCTCTACAAAGGCTACCTCTCTGCAACTGCTAAGAGCTTGTCTACCAGCGGTAGCCGTATTTAGTTGTATCTTCTCGGCTTTCTAACCTGCAGGAGTGTGAAGCGATGACAGATGTGCGGGGCCGTATAACCCTCCCCCTGCACTAATTTCCTTGCTCCTCGTTTCACTTTAACAGTCACAAGCGATAGCTTCCCTCACTCGACGTAACCTGTTCCAGGGTGGGTGAGATAGTAGGGGAAAAGAGGGGGTGTCTTATTTTCGTGTTCGCGCTTTTTATTTCTCAATTTTTGCGGACCCGACTACCTCGCAGCCTGGAACAGGCTACGCTCTACGCTCCAATCACAGCCAAGTGTGCGTGGAGTAATGCCAAGTGTGCGTGGAGAGTGCAGACGAGTGGAGCTGTGCTCCCGAAATTCATTCTAAATTTTAATCAAACAAATTTAGAATCTCAAGTCAAATCAGTTAGATTCCTGCTGAATAAGCGGATAAAATGAGTAAACCGTTGCGTAAAAACAGAAGCAAAAAAACTGATCAAGTTCATGAAGAGTCCCTTGCTATCAAAAATGGCGTCGACGAATTAGAACAAGAAGGTGATGGCGACTATGTAATGTCGCCTGGTCCTCCACGTACTGTTCCAACCTAAACTGTATTTATCTTTTGCAAAAGCGTCTAATGCGGCTCATAACAAAAGCTCACTATCTAGCAAATACCGCCCCTTTATTTAGCCAGCTTAAAGTCCTTGACATATTTAGTATTAATTCATTTTCTGTCGCTACTTTTATGTATTCTTATCACCATAATCTTTTGCCTAGTAGCTTTCGAGACTTGTTCTTAAGTAGTAATCAAGTCCATCAATATGAAACCCCACTAGCCTCTCAGAATAGACCTCATTTTTGCAGAACAAATATAAAGCAATTCAGTATCCTTTACCGAGGACCTAAAATCTGGAATCCGTTGCCTGTTTCACTAATTAGCTCTCGTTCTATTTAAAATTAAAGAATTAGCTCACTGATAGCCGATCTGTCGCTTAATTTTCTGATCTTGCTCACTCTGCACTCAGTCATCATAAATTTAGTTCATTAGGTAGTTGAAGGAAGCCTATTGATATAAGCTTCAAGCTTCGTTAGGCTTCCTTGTCACATTACTTTTATAATTTAATTAACAACTTTTGTTCATGTTGTATAAGGTTTTGTGACCGACTAAATAAAAAAATAAAAAAATAAAAACCAAGTCAAAGTGGGTTCTTGAAATTATATCATGTTCCCCAAACATATGAATACGGACGAAAGGCACGTTGTTTATCTTTCGATTCACTCTTTGTAGGTCGCAGAAGCCAATCATAACCAAAGAAACGAGGAGCCTCGTCCCTAGGGCTTTTCCATGCCCTGGGGACGAGGATGGTTAACAAGAAAACTCACTCAGGTTCCGTGTAACCAAATTTAGACGAGTCAGCCTCATACGGCCCACCAACCTTAATCACAATCTCTACTCTGCCATACCCCCCTATGCTTTAAAAGCTTTTTTAAGGTGACTTCAACGGCAGAGATAAGGCCTGCGAACAAGCTGGCAAGCGAGGTGAACTGCGAGAAAACGCGCAAGAAAGCGGCGCAGGGGAGGACGGAGGGGCAGTCTTCTTTCGCAGTCTTTTCGCGTGGCGCTCGTGCCTGACTTTTTACGATATCCCCAAATGAAGAGTTTTCTTGCAGGGTAAGCTGCCTCTTGCGCCCTTCGTCAGGATGGGAAATAACTGAGTGTTGCGCAAAGTACGGCTACAGTGCAGGTTAAATTTCTTATTAAAAAGAAACTAATTCAACTAAATTGAGCTGTTACTTTTCGCATAAGTAACAAGACTTACCCCTGTGTAGGGAAACACTTGTAAAGGCAATACCACAACAACAAACCATTGAGGGTCAGCCGAATCTTTAGTAGATATGGATCAGTAAAATCTTCAATACCAAATTTTAATATTAAAACAGTAAATTGATCCTTACGGCAGAAAGGGTGATAGAAAAAAATAAAGAAAGAAAACAAAAATAAAATGGTGAATTATATTTTCCCGATATTTAGTAAAGCCTAATTTAACACCAATGCCAAGATTGCTAATTTCACGTCTAATATATTACCAATACGCTTTGACTTACTAATTTTTTGAAAAGTTTACAGAAAGTTCCAAGTGTTTGAAGGGTGAAACTGTTGTTGTAGTCGGCGCCATGTCTCAACATTATTTGTAGAATAGGAGGCATGTTTTAGGCCGTTTTTTGTGCTGGAATTGACAACGGTTGACTTTTTTTATTGCTGCGTTTGTCTCCATCAATTAAAATAGTCTCACCTGTTCCAAACATTCGATAATTCCCCTACGTTCCTTGATGTTTATAGAACTCATTTTGTAACCTTAAACTTGTTTAGGAAAACTGATTATCATATTTTTCTTTAAAAGATACTAAAAAGAAATCACATCAAGTACCACCATTTAAAATAACATTTTCGCGTACAATCACTCCCTGCAATAGATCCACCTCACAGAGGGAGGTTTCATGTTATTCCGTATCAAACGAGATAGTTTTTGGCTGGCAGGCAACTTCTGTTATTTTTTTTCTTTGCTTATTTAACTTGTTGCTTGTTTTATTTCCTCGTTTCCGTCGCCGTTGTGGTTACTCGAGCTAGCTAGGTACGTTTCCACGCAAAACAGTTCTTGATATGCGATACTTTTTTCAAAAACCGAAAATTTCATGGAAAAAAGCGACGAAAACTATGTCAGGGACACATAGAGAGGCCCATTTAGAGGTTCATGTATGCACTTGAAAAATCAAGATGGCGTTTAAATTCAACAGATTCAGTTCCCGTGAATTTTGTTCCAATTGTGCATGCACATCACCGTGACACGCTCTGTTAACACACGATTTCATGAGCCATTTTAGCCCAAATTTTTATTACGCCAGGCTTTATAGCTTAAAGGCAGCTACGCCACAGGTTGTACCTGTTTCTAGCGCGAGAATCTCAGTTGCTAGCTGAAAATCCTAGCAAGAGGAACTTCCATGGAAAGTGCTTTCGCCAGGAAGATCACAGTACTAGCGACGAACCAATC